AAAGAAAGAAAGAAAGAAAGAAAGAAAGAAAGAAAGAAAGAAAGAAAGGAGTCAGGATTAAAAAAACCAAGGAGAAAAAAAATTCCTACGGACAACATTTCATGAACAACCTCATGGGATCTTTTTTTTTATTATCCTGACACAGAAGCTTAAATCTACTGCTCTGTCACTGAAAATCAAAGTGGAGGTGAGGCAGTACACCTGAGCAGGGATGCTTCGGAAAAGAGAAAAGCCCATTTCAATTGCCTGGTGCCCCATCCTTCACTTCCTCCACCCAACCTGGCCGAGTCTTTCAAAGGCACTTCCCCTTCCATCACTGCCCTCCAGGACAAATCTAGGCCATTTCTGCCAGACACAAACAGGCTAATAACCCATTAGAGGAGCGGAGATCGGCCAGCATTTATCTTTCTAGCTGACATGCCATTTTAGGATCAAGTTACAAGGGCTTCAAAAGGCATTGGAAAGCGGTCCACAAATGTCCACAAATATAGTCCAAATTGATAAAAACAAACAACACATTTCCAGTTCAAATCAAGTAAAAATAAAATATCAGAAGAAAATGAAGAGCATCACACACAGAGAGAGATACTTAGAGAGAGAGAGAGAGAAAGAGAGACATGCACTCCAATCTCCCCTTGGAATTATAAGATAACCTTTATTGTCACTTTTTTTTTCTGTGAACACACTGGCACACAATAAAAAATGACATTCTGATGCCCACTCTCAAAAGAAAATAAATATATAACCATATACACAATGCACACACATATACATATGATATATATACACACACACATTATATATATAGACACATACACACATATACATGCACACATATATACATACACATATTGTATGTATGTATGTATATATATACACACACATTATATATACATCACACATTATATATACATCACACATTATATATACATACACACATTATATATACACATACACTATATACCATATACCATATACATATATATGTTTTTACATATATATATATATACATATATATGTTTTTATATATATATATATATATATTGTATACATTACACACATTAATCACAGTCCATTTTGAATCCATAGTCTTCAGAGTTTATATGAATACGATCATTTCACAAGGAACATTGGAGGACTTATAAACAAATCTAAAGCGCTCTAAAATGCTGCTATAATGGAAGTTCCAACTCAACGTTTTGCAAATCAAATATTACAAGGCAAATCCTTTTTTTTTTTTTTTCACACCATGCCAACTCATGGCTGCATCTTTCTTTCTTTTTTTTTTTAAAGAGTCCCAACTTTGAAGATGGGGACAGGAAGGGGAAAAAAAACCAAAAAACATTTGGGGGGGTTTCCAAAGCAGAACTAAACTTTTCCACCATTAAAACGGTGATGGCTGATAATAATGATGGGTCGGGAGAAACAGTTTTGTAAGCAGTTTGTGCCCCCCCAGATCCTGGAAAAATTCACCCCCAATTACCACCCAGGTCTCCTAAAGGATTTTCTCTTCAACCTGACCAGAAATTTGGGGACCAAAAGGATGGGGAAGAAGACAGAGGGGGGGCGAAGGGTTGGGTGGGGGTGGAGCAGTGGATGGAATGGGGAAAATAAACAAAACCTGGACGTTTTTTTGGCTCAACGGCCTGCTGATCAGGCTGGCATAGCCTACAGAACCAAGTCTTCATTTTGCAGCTCAAGTGCACCCAAGCTTCCCTACTTCCCAGAAGGTTGTTTACTCAAAATACACAGTTCGACACCCTCCTTTACCTCCCCACCCCACCCCCAAACGAAAGCGGTGGGTCGGTGAGAAATTTAACCACAGTAATTCAGGGTTGTTGGTTTTTTGTTTTTGTTTTAAAGAGGCCAGCAAGATCATTCTCAATGAGAAAGGATGTATGTGCGCGAGAGAAGCCTTGCAAAGTCGGGAAAAAAAAACCTTTCTCCCCCTCCCTTTCCCAAATAGCCCAAGCATCAGTCCCAAGAGAGAAACCTGCCCTGTATTCTCAGCCAAAAATCTTTTTTTTTTTTAAAAAAAAAACAAACCTTCCTCCTTTGGAGTGATCTGCTTGTGCTGGCAGCTCACCAGCCCCACGTCCCAGAGGGTTAGAAACCTCCTTAGGTCCCTATTATTTACATACATACATACATACATACATACATACATACATACATACATACATGGAAGGGTGGATGGATGGAGGGAAGAGGAAAAGAGAGAGAGAGAGAGAGAGGACGGAGCTGCAATGGACTTACGTGAAGACGAAAAAGAGCGAAGTTGACCCCACTAGTAAGGCGGCTGCAGTAGAGACAGGGATGTATTTTGTCGGTTTAAATCTTTTTCCGATACTGCTGGGCATTCTGTGGATTATACATCACTGTGCATTAATCCAGAGTATCCAAGAGGCACTGGGGAGCCAGAGAGAGAGAGAGAGAGAGAGAGAGAGAAAGAGAAAGGGGGGGAGGGCTAGGGTGTGGGGAAAGCCCCCGAGATGAAGGTCTTGCACTGCAGCGAGAACAAGCGAAGGGAGGGGAAAAGGGGTAGGAAGAGGAGGAAAAATAAAAGGGGGAATTGAGACAGAAAAGGGGGAGGGAGAGAAAGAGGAGAGGGGGGGGGGGAGGAAAGGGATGGGTAACAGCTGACCTCTTTTGCACAGGAAACTCAACCCACAGAAGCCAGCCCACTTGGCTGATGTCAACCAACCCCTTAAGGTAGCACTGCAGAAAGAGAGATGGAGATGATGGTGCTGGAAACAGATTTAAGAAGCAGCAATCGAGGGGTGAGGGAAGGAAACACCTGAAGCTCGTCAGATGCCTCCTCCTCCTCAACTTCCCGGCTCTGAAGGCCTATTCTGCGGCTGATCTGCAGGATTCCCTCCCTACACGATCTTCTTCTCCAGAGGAGATCCTTCAGATCCCAATGCATCTTGGCGACCGAAAGAGGAGGCGCCGAGGCAGAGCGAAGGAGAGATCCAGCAGACTGGGAGGAGGAAGAGGAGGAGGAGGAGGAGGAAGAGGCAGAAAGGGGGTTACGGATTTTGTCCGCTGGCCGTGGAGAAGTTTTTTTTTGGGGGGGGGGCGAGGGAGATTTTCCCCTTGGGATGCTTCCCAAGGGTGAGATTTGAAGGGCCGAAGGACAAGTCAAAGAAGGAGGAGGGATTTTCTGCTTGGGCAGGGGGTTGGACTAGATGACTTGCAAGTTCTCCTCCAACTCTGTTAATCCGAATCTATCTAAGATGATGAAAGGCCTGGAGGCTAAAACTATATGAAGAACGGTTGCAGAAACTGGGCCTGGCTAGTCTAGTGAAGGACCAGGGGAGACAGGAGAGCAATCTTCCAATACTTGAGGAGCTGCCACAGAGAGGAGGAAGGGGTCAAGCTGTTTTCCAAAGCACCCGAAGGCCAGACAAGGAATTATGGATGGAAACTGACCAAGGAGAGATTCAACTTAGAAATAAGGAGAAACTTTCTGACAGTGAAAACAATCAACCCATGGAACAGAAGTTGCCTTTGGAAGTTGTGGGAGCTTCATCACTGAAGGCTTTCAAGAAGAGACTGGACTGCCACCAGTCAGAAATGGTGTAGGGTCTCCTCTTGGGCGGGGGGTTGGACTAGATGACCTACAAGGTCCCTTCCAACTCTGTTAATCTCTGTTAAAAAAGGAAGAGGAACATAGCAGCTCCACCCCAGGTCCAGCTTGCTCCAAGGGGGGATTCTGGAGAACTTTGAGACCTTAACATTTTTTGATGTCGCCTAAATGTTATTAACCACTTTGGGGTGAAATTTGTGATCTCTTTTGGGCCACCTCAGCTACCAATGCTGCTTTTTAGGCAGTCAACGAGCCCCTTCCCCAAAATAAAAACTTTTTTGTCTTTTCCATATGTAGGGTGTTACAACTCCCACAATTGTTGAGAGCTCTAAGGGGAGAAGGAGAGGATAAACTTTTCAACCTAGAACAACTGGGACCAGAATTCCCATTGCTACGACGGTTACTGAGCAGTGCTCCATTGTAGGACCCCCTTTTTTTCCTCTTTTCTGCAACAGTTGCTCAGAGAATCACACGGTCGTTAAGTGAAACCAGCATCCCCGTCTCCCCCCCATTGGCTCTGCTTGTTGGAAAGCCGGTTGGGGAAAAGTTGCAGACGGTGATCACATGACAGTGCAGCCATGGTTTTAAATACACACCAAAGTGACCAAATTTTGATCACGTGACTCTGGGGACGCTGCAATGATTGTAAATGCAAGGATCAGTGGTAACTCCCTTCTGTTGCTGCGGTTGTAACTTTGAAGGCTGGTTAACTGAATGGCTATAAATCGAGGACTACTGTATTTATAAAGGACTAGCAGAGTACCCGTGCTTCGCTACAAAACGATGTGATTGGGCTTAGGTTTTTGGGAGGAAAATAAGGGGGGGGGGATTGTGCCTCTATCAGCATCCATCGGTATTCATCTGGCTAGCGTCTGTCAGTGTGTGTGAGCTGAGGGCTGTTTGGAAACTGAAGCAGCATTTGCTGTGTGAGCAAGGAGAAAGCAAGGAGCCTGGGCATGGCTTAGCTCAACTGCAGTTGGAAGATATTTCTTTTCAGGTGGGGAGCGGGAGTAGAACTCCTTAGCATCAGAGCGTGTTAATAATAATAATACAGGAAATACGAATGCTCTGATGGTCATTTTGAAAAATCCTTTCTTAGCGAGCACCTAGGAGCCAAGAGGAACATATGTGCCAAATTTCAAGTTCAAGGCTTTACGGTTCTGGAGATTTTGTGATGATGCGCGAGTGGCATTTCGCTTTTATATATATATAAAGTAGAATTGTATGAATCCAGACTTTTAGACAATCTTATTGGCTTTTTAAGATTCCAAAGAAGTTTGGGTAAGATCGGTAAAGTATCATTTTCACCTCATGGATATTCCCCCAGCCCAAGATCATCAAATAATGGGGACTTGTGATCCATCACCCTTAAACCACAACGGTAACAAGTTTTCATTCCATTTCATGCAGTTGAGCATTTAGAGTAAACCTCCCCAAGTGAATGTATAGGATTTAAAGGGGAAAAAACAGTGATGGCCTTCCTGCCAGATTTTGGCACCGTGGTATATAAACCGTAAGCCACTGTTTACCACCCACAAAGGCCACGTCTGCCCACAGCGCATGCCGTAAACAAGCCGCAATGAACACGTTGGATCAACTGTGAACAAACCCAACCCCTCGTTCTTGGCCCTTGCATTTAAACTCTTCTCCGTTTTTACTTCATGTCCTCTGAGAAATGCTAATTCTCTATTTTATGGTTGGCACCTTTTGGCTTCAGTGAGAAAAAAAAGATTGCTTTGTTTGGGGATTTGGGGGTGTGTGGAGATGAGGGTGCGAACTACCTTGTGCATTACATAAATGTTGATATATAAATAGCATGACTGAATTGTACAGAACCCAGATGGATCTAACAACAGAGATCAGCCTGCATTAACCAGTCAGCCAGATTAATAAACAAAGAGGCTGAATTTTGCAATAATCTTAATTTCTCCCACCTTTAGCTCCAAGGGGTTGCAAAGGAAGCGAGGTCCATTTCTATTCAGGGTTGAAAACTTCAGAATGGGCTGTATGTCCACACTGTCTTTCTGGTTGTGTGCCACAGAACAGGGTGGGAACCAGAGACAGGCACCTGCCTTTAATTAGCCCAGTCAGAAATGTGAAGAATTCCAGTGCACCCATAAGCAAAAACAGATTTTTGTGTGTGTTTGTTTTTGCATCCATCCTAACTACTGTTGCAAAATATTGCAATGCATCCCGTTTGCAGCACAATGTTATTTTGGGGTGTTTTTTTTTCCACGGGTGGAGTTGGAAAGTTAAACCTTGGTTTGCGTATCAGCGTGGTCATTTGTCCGAAATCTATCCCAGGAAGATGACCTATGCACTGTGTGGACAGGCCTCAAAGTCTTTTTGGATTGCTGTCCGCAAGAAGTTAGGGAGGAAAAGCCACGGTGAGCAAGTTCAGAATTAGCAGGTTAACACCTCTGCCTTCCCAAACTTATCTCCCAGATGCATCTGCCTACACACGGATGTGTTCACTTCTGCATAATCCATGCGCAATTTTGTACCCATGATGCAACAGCTGGCGCTTTGCTTTGGAGAATGACTTTTTTTGCCTATTGCATAGGAACAAACCTGATGGAGCGAAGAGCAGGGGGCAGATTAATGTCCCCACCTCAGTTTGATTGCAAAAACCTTCTAAAGCAGGTATCAGGCAAAAATGCTGGTGGGGAAAAAAAGGGATTGAAACTGCAGTTGTCCTAACAGGATCCCGTCAACCCCCCCCCCCCTCTATACACATACACACGGGGGGGGGGGCTGAAGGCCTTGGGGTTACTTTCACTGGGTTTAGAAGATAAGCTAGATCAGGGTTGATTCAATACTTAAAAAGAGTAGCAGGAAGTCTGAGGCCATTAAGTAGATGCAGAAGTCAGAAAGCTTCCAAGATGGAGGAGATGGTGAAGCTTGCCAAGATGATGTTATCACCATGATTCAAGTGTGAATTGAAGGACTTCTTACTTATATCATTCACTGACATGCAGCAATCATGGGTTAGGGCTTAGCTAGGCGACGTAGGTTCCACCCTCATCCATCTAACCGATTTCATACCACTTAAAAGTTGGGTCAACTTCTCTGTAGAATTAACTATACCAAAGCAGTATTGAAGCGTTGCCAACTCAGTGGATGCGATCCGTGTCAACTTACCTTGGTACTCTGGAGAATTTCTTGCAGATGTTTTATTACCTAACTAGGTAACATTATCAGTGGTAGTAGGGAGGTTTGTGGAGGATTGTAGTCCTTGGGTTCTGAGTTTGATGGTTTTCTTGCAGACGTTTCATTACCAAACTAGGCAACATCGCCAGGGCTACCTGACCTTGAGCAAGACATTTGTCCTCTGGAACAGTTTTACTCTTTCCTATCTTCCTTTTTATTTCATTTTTTATGGTTGTGAGCAGCCTAAAGTAGCCCATGACGAGATAGGCTGCAAATAAATTTGATAATAATCTTGTAATCTTGCCACTAAGAGCTAGGAACGTTCTTCCTCTGGAGATGATGGGGACTGAATTTATGACTTGGCTGTAACCTCTTCAAAAACTGAGGTAGCCAGTTTTTGATGTCATAATCTTCCGGCCCATTTTGTTTCACCAAATCTCTGAGATTAAGCAGTAAAGTCACTTGGCAAACTCGGTGGCCAATACAAAGTTACTGTAGAAAAAACACTGTGAATATTAGCACAAAATCACATTGATGCAACCACACACACATGCTTTATCAGATACTTTACTATTTTGTTTTGACCCATTTGTGAGAACCGGGTATATATTATCTTCAGGTTTTTAGTGCAAATGCGAATATGCGCACCTTGCATACACTTGGATTTTTACCAAGGACTTTGTAGCATTTATTGTCCAAATTTGCTTTCATTACGATGCAGAGATGAATTATTCACAACAGCTTCAAATAGCGTACGTGGGTACGATTTAGGAAATAAATCCAACTGATTTTTCCCCCTTTATTCATGTCTATGTATTGTATTTATGTTGCGA